CTGTATCGACTTCTTCGACGTTGGAGTCGGGAGGTCGGCGAATGCTCGACACTTGTCGGGGTTGGCTTCAATCCCTCGTTCTGTTAGATAGAATCCGAGGAATTTTCCTGCCTTGACCCCGAACGTGCACTTCTCGGGGTTGAACCTCATTTTGCATTGTCTTGCTTGGGCGAAGACAGTCTTGAGATGAGCTGCGTGATCGGTGTCTGCTCGAGATTTGACGATCATGTCGTCCATGTATACCTCGAGCATGTCGCCGATCTGTTTGTTGAACACTTTGTTCATCATGCGTTGGTACGTCGCGCCGGCGTTCTTTAGTCCGAAGGGCATTACGTTGTAGTAATAGTTACCCGAGCTGGTCATGAACGCCGTGCAGCGTTTGTCGCCCAGGGCCATTGGGATTTGATTGTATCCCGAGTAGGCGTCCATGAACGACAAAGTCTTGTAGCCGACCGAGTTGTCGACCAGCATGTCGATGTTAGGTAGAGGAAAAGCATCCTTCGGGCAAGCCCGGTTGAGGTCGGTATAGTCAACACACATTCTCCATTTTCCATTATTCTTTTTGACAAGTACAACATTTGACAGCCAGGTGGAATACCGGGCTTCAGAAATAAAATTTGCCTCTAAGAGGTCTTTTACAGCTTTTTCAGCAGCCTCCGTTTTTTCTGGAGACTGCCTACGCCTACGTTGTACTACGGCCTTGGCGGCTGGATCAATGGCGAGGTGATGACAGGCGACCTCAGGGTCGAGTCCGGGCATCTCTGCAGCGCTCCAGGCGAAGAGATCAGCATTCTCGCGCAGACAGGCCTTGATTTGCTTCCTGGCCAAGTCGGGGAGGTCCTTGCCAATCTTCACTCCCTTGGTCGGGTCTGCTCCGAGGGGAACGAGTTCGAAATCGCCGTCCGGAATAGGTCGGAGGGGGATTTGCTCGCTGCTGGCCGGCTCGTCTTGGTCGAAGCGGGCGTCGAGGGCTATGGAGTCGACCTTTGGTGGAGCCTTCTGAACTTCTACCTCGGGAGATGCTCTGTCGGGCTCTTGCTTTGTCTTCTTGATGGTCCTTGTGCTGGGACCCACGTCGACAGTATCCCGTCCCCTTGAAGCGGCGTTGAAGCACCTGCGGGCAGCAGCGAGGTCGCCCTGGATGGTGGCTACCCTTGCCCGTTTGGTGTAGAACTTCATTTTTAGATGGACAGTTGAGGGAACCGCTGTCAGCTCCGCCAATGTCGGCCTCCCCAAGATGCAGTTGTATAGGGATGGGCAGTCAATGACGAGGAAGCGGACCTTCACCTGTCTTGTAGAAGTTCCTTCCCCGAACGTCACGAGGAGCTCGACATATCCCCAAGGTTTGGAAGTCGAGCCGTTGAAGCCTTGAAGGTCCGAACCTATATACGGAGACAGATGTGAGTCGTCCAGTTGTAAAGTCCGGAACAGCTGGGTGTACATCACGTCGACGGAACTCCCTTCGTCGACCAGGATGCGATGTACGTCAAAATTGGCCATCTTTGCCCTTATCAGCAAGGGGATGACTGCGTTCGGTGCTCCGCCGGGGAGCTCTTCCAAGTAGAAGGTGATAGGCTCTGATCTGCCCCTCACCATTTCGAAAGTCACAGTTTGTGGAGGAGCTTTGTCGACCAGTTCGTCCAACTTCCTCTTGGCTGAGTTGATGGTGAGGTCGTTGAACCCGCCCCCGTTGATGACCATGGCGGAGGGGAAGTATTCCCACCTGCTGTGTGTCGTCAGGGGCTCCTGCAGGAGCTCGGGAAGTTCGAAATCCTCGGGCCTGGTTACCGAGAAGGCGGTCTGGATTGGCACCGACTCGTCAGATGGTCGGGCATCTTCTTCGGGCTCCTTTGCCTCGCGGGCGTCCCGACGGGGAGCGTCATTTCGCCTGTACTGTGCAAGCCTCCCTCCTTTGATGAGGGTTTCGATGGCGTCCTTCAGGTGGACGCAGTCCTCTGTCAAGTGACCATGACTCCTATGGTACTGACAATACTTGTTTTTGTCTACTCCTGGCTTGGCAGGAGCTGGTCGGGGACGCTTGACGCCACCGTCTTTAAAATCTGTGCTAGCACACTCCGCCAAAATACGCTCGCGGGAAGCCATGAGCGGAGTGTACTCAGTGAACCGGCCCGAGGGGCCCCTTTGCTCCCGGACCTCCCGGGGTCGATCTTCCTTCCTCTTCTCTCCGGTCCGTCGGGGAGGAGGGTCTTGTCTCGAGCTGCTGCCATGATTGCGAGCCCTGGAGTCTCGTGCCCTGTTGGCAGCTTCTCTCTCCTCGTAGTCCATGTATGCTCGGGCTTTGTCGAGGAGAGCATCAAAAGTTGTAGGTGGTTCAATGCCCACAGCTTTTCTGAATTCTGTTCCGGGGAGGAGGCCCCTCTCCAGCAAGTACCTCTTCATATGGTCCGCGCAGGGGACCTGGATTGCTTCCCGGTTGAAGCGGTTGATGAATTCCCTCAAGGTCTCATCATGTCTTTGAATGATGGCCTCGAGGGCTGCCTCAGTCTTCGGGTGGCGACGGGAAGCTGTGAAGGAACTGATGAACTGGTTCTTCAGGTTCCGCCATGAGGTTATGGAGCCCGGGGCGAGTCCTTTGTACCAGTCCATGGCCGCCTTCCTGAGAGTTGTTGGGAAGAGACGGCACTTGATGGGCCCCCCGACGTTGTGATAGTGGAGCATGGCTTCGAACCCGTCAATGTGGTCGACTGGGTCCGCCACTCCATCATACTCCTTCAGGTGTGGGGGCTTTTCCATGCCCGGGGGAATAGGTGCGTCCATGATGGCCTGCGACAGGGGACCGCGGGGGTCGTCCTCGTCGCTCCTTTCTGGAGAAAGAGAAGGGGTCCTGTAGTTATGCCGGGCACGATGGTCGTGCTGAGATTCCCTCGAGCGTGATGCTCGGTGGTTGAAGGTCACACGCCCGTCTCTGTTGTGTCTCCTGTCGTGCCTCGATGGGTCGCGACTGGGCTCTTCGGCAGGGATGACGGGCTGTCTTTCATACTGGGGCCGCCTCTGCCTTGGTGGGGGAGAGGGGCTCCTAGAGTTCTCCCTGTGATGTCTCCGCGGGGGAGTAGGGTGTCGAACTTCTTCGACCCGAGGAGGTGGAGATGGTGGCCTCTGATGCCTCCTCGGGGGTCTTCGATCATGTTCAAGTGCCCTTAGCCTTTCTCCTTGGGCGAATAGGAGATAGTTTGTCTGGTTGATGGCCGCGAACAGTGCCTGAGTCGTGGCATCTGCCCCGGCAGGGACTTGGACTTCATAGAACCGGGCAGCTTGGCGATAGGCGAGAGCCTCCGGGTCGTCTTCGAGTCTTGGAGGAGTCGTCGAGGATGACGCAGTGTTCCCGTCCCTGCGAGTGGAAGGTCCAGGGGCGGTTGTCACGGGGATGGCATTATGGCCGGCATCACCGAGATTGTCGAGGTGCCCATTCTTGTCCGCAGGACCGTTGTTGGTGTCGGTGACGCGGGTGTGCTGTTCTTCACGAGCTGGATCAGCCATGACAGGCAATTGGATTGAGCTTTGGTCTTTGGAATTGTTCGTTAGATGGGGAAGCTGTTTCCCACAGACGGCGCCACTGATCTGACCTGATCAGAAGGTTTGGACCGTCACGCCTTACTCCGAGCTGAAAGCTTTTTGAACGAGGAGGGGGGGTACCTGCAAGGCACTCCGATGCTAAAGTCAGTGGGAGTACTAGCAGATAATAGAGTTGAGGTTAGAATGATCAATACCTGACCCTCTGGAAACAGAGGGTATTTATAGCCCCCAGCGCTGGGCCAAAGTTCCTTCATTGGTGCGGGCGGATTTGGCCCAATGGAGGAACTGCCAGGTTCTACGTGGGTAGTGGGGACCAGTACGTGGTCCCCTTCCTGGATGTGCTGCGTGAAGTGCGGGCGGACGGAGACGCGGTCTTTCCGGAGTAACGTTGGGGCAACGGTGGACTGAGTCTGCCCTAGCCAGGTAGCTCGAGACCATGTCGAGCTGCGCAGCACGGTGCCGAGCTCGACGCCAAGACCTCGAGCTGAACAGCGAGTGTCGAGCTGGACGTCAGGACACAGAGCCGGGCGGCAGGGTGCCGAGCATGACTTCACCGCGTGGGGCTGGTCATCGAGATGTCGAGGTGGACATCAGGGTGTCGGGCATGGACGCGACCCCCTTTGCCCAGTGTGGTCCTTAGTGAGTCCCTTTGGACTGGGCCTTAGTAATACTTTTGGGCCTGTCGGGCCCAGTCCAGAACAAAACCTATTGAGCAAAAATAAAATAATAAACTAACTCGTGAAACCTAAATTCTGTTTGTCTTTTTTATGACTAATCAGTTTAACTAAGCGGAGTTTAATTTTGCAATGAAAAAAATATATTTTTAATTAAATAATTTATAAAATTGATTCTGATTAAAAACTAAGCTAATATAAAGTGGTTTATTTGTAAATATATTATTATAAAAATGAATTAAATAATAAGTTTTAATATAAAAATTATATTTAAATTCAAGCTATAAAAAATCCTTGTTTAAAATAACTCAAATTGTATTTGTTCTATAGTTAAAATTTCACCACATAGATTTTTGTTGAATCATAATTAAATTAAAATTGACCAATGAATATAGTTGAAACATTTTTTTAAATATTTTTTAAAACTAAAATTTTAACTTTAAAATATGTATATTACAATTCAACAATCACTCATATAATAATAGTAACAATTTATAAAGAAAACTAAATAATTGCTAAATCAAAAACTAATTGTTGGATGAATTATCTTTCGTCTAAAAATGAATTACAAAAATAAAGATACAACAAATTTTTTTTCTCTTCAATTTTTTCATACATGTGTATGAAAAATGGAAAAATAATAATAGAAAAATAAATAAACAAAAAAGTATGAATAAAACTTACCTATAGTGTCACAATAATTTTTTTAATATTATATTATTGACAACTATTTATTATTTTGTGTGTGTAATAATATCAAGAGTCACAACTTTGGGACTATTATGAAATTGATCAACCATAAGGTGGTGGTGGATGACCACTAGTATCTGACCAAGTTGTCGGCGGAAACATGCCATCAGGCGGAGGATTTTCCGGCGGCCGGAAAAGTTCCATTTGTTGAGTAGAAAACAGAGGAAATGAAGGAGAGGAATTGGAAATTTGAGTAGATGGTGAAAATGAAGGTGATGAAGATTGAAGTGGTGCCAATTGTGAATTATAATACCATTGTTGAACCAAATTTGGAGCTTGTAATTGCTGTTGTTGTTGTTGCATTTGCTGTAGCTGAAAATCACCGGAGCTTTGAAGAATTTGAGAGTATTCTAAATAGTCTCTGATAAAATCAGATGAGCCTTGAAACGCCGGCTGCGGCAGTGTTCGAGAGGCAACTGCCGCGGTTGGCAAAGATTGAAGATGTGGTTGTGGCGGCGGCGGCATAATTGATCTGACATTTTCGGGGAAGTTGAGTTTCGCTCTGCTTCCTCGGAATCGCAATGCGGCTTCATCGTAAGCTCTTGCTGCTGCTTCTGCTGTGTCGAATGTTCCTAGCCAGACTCTTGCTGCTTTGTGTGGATCTCTTATCTCTGCTGCCCATTTTCCCCATGGTCTTTGCCGAACTCCTCGGTATCTTCTTCTTCTCTCGCCGCTTTCTTCGAATGACGGTGGTGCCGGTGTTGGTGTCGATGTGGCGACGGTTATGGTTGTTGTGGCTGGAGCTTCTTCAGTTACTGGTTCAATAGGAAAATGATAGTTTGATTAGTTTAAGGATGTTTGGTTGATGGAAAATATTTAACTATCGAAATTAACATTAATTTTAAAATATATACTAAAAAATGTCTTTGTAAAAAATTTTAAAATTTCTTCTAAAAATTAAATATTTAATTATATTGAATGGACAAAAAAGACTTTGTTTTAATTGTCGTCTTAGACTTTAAATTACTTTGGGCCTAAAAGAAATGTACCTAATGAAGATGATTCTCTTGAACCTTGAGAAGGTACCATAACAGTTCTAAAAAGTTTAGGAACATTTTGTGTTATAAACCGATTAGAATCACTACTTTCTTCATCACGCTCTCTTTTGTGACCAATCCATGATCCAGAGGGCACGAATAACCCCGAACTCGAACTCGAACCCGAACCCGAAGAATAAAATGAAGATGAAGAAGATGGTGTATTTCCAAAGCTAGTTCTTTGAATCCATTCACTATTAGCATTACTCATTTTATTTGACCCTGATGATGCAACATGTGCAAGAGCTGAAACCATTTCATTTCTTTCTCTATCACCATTATACCCGGAAACCATTAATTTTCCACCATCATTACCACCGTCGTCGTGATCTTCACCGTCGCGTTTCACCGTGAATCCGGTGAACTCACCTGAGCCTCTTTGATGCGCCACGGTTAACAAGGACATGTAAACAACGTTGCTGTTATTTGAAGACACTTTGGATTAATGATGTTGAAAATAAAACTATATGCAACGTTATTTAAATACTCTTTGAGATGCTATTGAGAATGTAACAAATAAATTATAGTAGTAAGTTGGAAATCTAACATGTGGTGCAAAAAATTTATTAGCCCCCATTTTAATAGTCCAGTAGTATTATTATACAATAGATACACGAACACCATTTTCTACTTTTATTTTTTAATTCAATAAAATATTTAATATAATAATAAAAAATTATAGAAACTCAGATATGGAATTATGGTGTGCCGCGTCTAAGAATTTGGATATGTACGTGTTCACATATAAGAACATGTGTTTTTTGGATTTTGATTTGACTGGAAGGTGGAAAAGAGAGGCAAAATAGAATTAAGTAACACCTAGTTGAAGTCTTTGGGCCATTCGTGTACTTTGTCGGTGTTCTGGGTGGAGATTAACATAGAGATAGAGAGAGAAAAAGAGATTGTGTTTGAATTGATGTCTTTATTTATGAGCAGTCAAAAACAATTTGTTTATATTATGGATACTTTATGTGTGTGCATGCTTACGTAATGTTCTCATCTTAATCTGTGTTTGGTTTTATATACCGACACGTCATTTTTAAGTGGGTTATTATATATCTTTGTGCTTAAGTTAGTATTTATTAGACCGTAAAACTTTTTTTATTTTTTATTTTTGTGGGTTTTGTAAGAAAAGGATTTAAAATGAGTTGCAACTTACATAAGTAGGGGAAAAGGTGAAATAGTTTAAGTTGCTTGATTTCACCTATTAGGATTAGTTAAACATGGGACTGAGATCGGGTGATTTTGATTTTTCATAACTTTGGTAACTTTACCGATATCTCTCTCTAAAACAATCATCCTCTTTCAAGAAAAAAATATAGTAATAGTTTATTCATATTTTGAATAATCTAAAGTTTGAAAGTTACTAAATTGTAAAGTTACTTAATTCTTTCTTTTAAATATGTTGGGTCGGATCGATATATCTGTTTAGATTTTATATAGAATTATAAAAGATTTATCGAGTTACTAAATAGTTACTTAATCCTTTCCCTTAAACATGTCCGGTCGGATGGACATATCCTTTTTTATATATTTTTTTTAGGACGGGTGAAAGATTTTATCGAGCAGTCTCTAGTATAATTGTTTCATTCTGCTTTATTTTTTTATGAGTTTTTATAGATATATATTAACATAAATTTTTATAATTTTTAGATTAAAAAAATGTGGTGTCATCAAGTAAAAATGTGGTGTCATCAAGTCTGTTCCATCCGCCCTTAATTTTTTTATAGAACAAATCAAATTTTAAGTTTGTATCCTACAAAATATTTATCCCTTATCTTACTACTTTTTTTATATATTTTTGTGAGACGAGTCTAAACAGAATATATATGTTCATTTGACACTCTTAATTATGATGAGTCGTTGTTATTGCATGTTTAAAATCTTTTTCACTTTGATAAAATATATCTTTAAAAATTAATCAATATATTTTTATTAAAAATTTAAAAAAAATTTAAAGATGCATTGAACTTGATTCTATGTAATTATATACTATTCAATAATGTATCCTTGTAGTAACATATACGAAATAAAAAGTCTGATTGCGTGTATTGAAGAAAAAATTGCGCGTCAGAAAACATTTTAATATTTAAATAATTTTCTTTTTTGATATGTAAGCAATTTTTAGTTTGATTTCTGTTTTTTGATTAAAAACCCATTAAAATATGTTTAAGCCTAATTAATTTTTTTTTCTTTTGTATTTAAACAATTTTGGGAGTGATTGTCAGCATTATCTTTCATTATAATAAAATTTAAAGTTTCTTTATCTAGTGAATTCTAGAGCTTAGTTGATATGTTTTGCATTTGCAATCCTGTTCATTCTAGGGTTATCGATTTCTATTTCATAGAGTTTTCGACTGCGTCAATTGACATCAGAGCAGGTTTTCTCCTATTCTTTTCAACAACTATGGCAGAGCAAATCTTGAGGGAATTACTACGACTTTTACCGCGACTATAACTGCTTTTCCTGAATAGATGGCGACTTTAACAAATTAGATGAACAACGCCAATAACAACGAGAACTGACAAAGAGACAAGAGAGAGGAACCATTTAGGGTTCCACTGTATGGAAACAACTGTGTTGAAGATTCGAGTTTTAAATAAGAAGTACCCTACAAGGAAGAGGTTGATCATGGGATTCGACATAATAACCATGACTATCGAGTGAAAGATGACATTCAATTATTCTACGAAATAATGGGAGTGAAGGGGTTTCTTGATTGGCAGATTGATGTCATCATGTTCTTCAATGTTATGGGCGTCCTTGAGAATAAGCAAGTTAAGATGGCGGTGATCAGGCTTAAAATTATTGATGTTGTCTAATGGGATAAAGTTGTTGCTCAAAGGCAAAGGCAAAGGAATGAGTCAGTCAGAATTTGATAAAGAATGAAACAATTAATGTTGGAGTGGAGGATTATGAACCAATCATTTATAAGATGTACCTCGAGTGTGTTTAGAGCAAGAGAACCGTGACTGAATACACAACCGAGTTTTTACGTTTTTCTGAGCGCGGTGAATTGGGAGAATTCGAGAGCCAGAAAGTACTTATATACATCAGGGTCTAAAGGGATCCTTACAGGAGAAGATGTGTTTACAGACTGTATGAATTGTAACTAAGACATCAAATTTAACTTTGAAGGCAAATTTGATGGGGAAATTCCCTCGAAATTTCTTGTCTTTTAAAAGGTACTCGCCCAAGAATAACTTTGAATTAGTAGGTGACAAGGAAATGAGTGCAACACCTCGGGATTCTGTCATATCCCAAATTTTCCCGCCTTAGTGATACTGTCAAATTTATTTTCGAACTTGAATTTTAAAATTCCTTTGGTTTTAATTACATTAATATTTTAGGATTTTAATAAATATTCTCTTTCAAGTCTATTTAAAATTATAATAATTTTTTTCAAATTATTTGTATTTTTAAAATAACAAATAATTGTTCTTCCTCATATATTTTCAATTAGCTTTTTATTTTAAATAAATAACATAACATAATTGGTAAGGAAGCAAAGCTTGGAAACATAAAGTCACAGGTTCGAATCTCACTTGATGTATTTTTGATATTTCTTTGTTTATTGTTACTAATTTTATTTCCATTTATAAAAATCATTAAAAAAACCTTTTTTTTATTATTTAAATATTATTTTCGTATTTTTAATTATGACATTTTTAAAAATAATTATTTATTAGATTTTATGTGCTTTTTATCAAAATTGAGTGCAAAAATTATAATATATACAAAAATTATTTCCTTTTATGTTTAATTGTTTTTTATTGGTCAATCAATGTCAATTTGTGTCATACTCATCTTATAATTGGTTAGTTTGGTGACCAAGGAAAAATTAATTTGTAAATCAATTTTATTTTCCTAATTTATTGACCTAATTATCACTATAAATAAGTCACTCTTTCATACTATTTTTTCATCAACAATTTCACCAACAATTAGCAAATCAACAACTCACTAAATTTCTCTTAAAGATGTTGCTCTTCATATCGAAGAACAATAACAAAGAAACCTTGAAAGCCTCCGTCAATCCGAGCAAAAATCGTTGCACCGAAGGAAAGCACTAAGGAAAGAAGAAAGAATATTAGAGAAAACAACTTAAATTGGTCATGGTATTCCGGGTTAGTAAACCTGACTTTTGAATGTATGAACTAATTGTTTGTATATGTCTGAATTGTTGACTTGATTATTAATATGTTTGTGTATAATATGTGTAAACTCTTTCTATGACATCAATCAAACTTTACTTATATATGTATACTCATCCAGTAAACCTATTATATAAATATTGTTAATATATAATAAATAATTAACTAAATTTTTTTCCTCATTATTTTTTAAATATTTTATTTTATAATTAATAATAATATTATAAATAGATAGTGGGGGTCTGTCATGTTATATTTAAGTTATAAATAAGATGGCCAATTTGGTTTAGGTGTGGCCATAAAAAAGGATATAGTACTATACTATATTAATTTTAAAAAAGAGGTGAATTTGTCATTAGAAAAAAGACTATTGTACTGGTATGCATTTGGGAAAAGTGTGTTCTCTAAAATTCAATTTTTACTTTTTAGTTATTATTTGTTAGTTTTAGTTTTTAATGTTTATTATTAAACCAAACTAACACCAGTTATGTCAATTGGATATTTTTTTATATTTACAATTTAATTTTAATATTAAAATGATATTAAGGATAATCATATGTATTAATTTTAAAGAAAATAATGTTATATAATAGTCATAAGTTTTTTTTACAACAGAATCTACATCTTTACTAATTTACACAATATCTCATATTAACTTTTTAATCACTTGTTCTTTATTCGTTTAGATATTTATCTATTTTAATTAGTTACTTCGTTTTAGTAATTAGGCTAAATATTTGATTATGTTGATTAGATTATAGTCTTTACATAAAAGTTATAATTTTTTTAATTAATTTAATTTTATTCTTATAATTAAGCCGTTAACCAAGATATATGCAAAAACACAAAAAAACATAAAGTATCTAATTTTTTGATTAAAAATAATAATACAATTATAACTCTATCCATAAATCAAACATTAAATTTGAATTAAATAAAATTGAATCAAAATCTTAAATTACAATCAAATATCAAAATCCATACAATTCATCAAATATTCCATCCGCGAGCAACACGTGGCCAATATCTGGCCACGTGATGAGGGAGACTATATCAGACTCTCTCCACATCCTTCATAACGAGCAGCACGGAGTCAATATCTGACCACGTGATAAAGAGATTATATTAGACTCCTCCCGTCCTATATCCAACCATACACGATAAACAAACCAAATTTCAAAACAGCTAACCAACAATTCATATAATTTTTTACTAACATAATCAAATTCAAGAGCATTTTCAAAAAATGAT